GCGGCGGTGGTGCAATGGAAGTACTACACACACGACACTTGTTGTACATCTCCTCATACTTCTGATAGACAGAGTCAGGAAGTCCTAACATGGAAGTCCTTCGTCTGAATTGAGGAGACATGTGATAGTGTTTGATATGAAGCTTGTAAAGTTCCACACTATCCTCCAGTTTCCTGAGCATCTTTCTGTATGCTGGTGTCATGGCTTGCACTTCACTACCAGGCAGTGGAATCGAAACTCGCCTAGGCTCAAGAGCATCACTACCTAGTTTCTCAACTTGACTTTCTGAATCTTGCTTACCACGGTTGCGCGCAGGTGCAGAATGTTTTGGTTCAATGACTTGAGGTTCATCTGAATCAATCTTGTCCAAACCTAATTCCCTAGCTACCTTGTCAAGCTCATCTTCTTCATCAAGCTTGGGATAGGAGACAACAACCTTCTTTCTTGATGAACCTGATTGAGAGTCATCGACAACCTGAGGTTTCTGCTTACCTACGTGTCTTTTGGCTGCAGGTGGACCTACCTCAATCTTTTTCGAGCCTGGTCCATTTGAAATCGGTTTGCCTTCCTCCTTCTTTAAGGAGCTTGGCTTCTTCTTCTGTACACCTGATGGCACTGAAGAGGCTGACTCAGGGTGAAAAAGATCATCAATGTTTCCACGAAAGGGCTTTGCACGATCAATGTCACTTCTGACAATGTCATCTGGGATCACGTAGTCCTCCTTGATCTTGTAGATGGTCTTGCCCTTCCAGAACTCTTCACTCTGTTCAGAAAACCTCTTCTTCTCAGTGCGCCAGTTGTCCTTGTGAAGAACCTTCTTCTTGCTCTTCTGGAATTCCATGTGGGTTTCTCTCTCATCAAGAAGTTGATCTTTTGGAATTGGAGTTTTCTCTGATCGAGTCATCTCATGTAAGTTCATTCTCTTGTCCTTGTGGTGCCTGATGAGTTCACGACGTAGTGGATCAACCTGCCAGTAGTCACCAGTCACCAAAGCTTCTCCTTCATGATCATCTTGTTTGACAGCAATCTGACTGTACTCAAAGTGATCGTGTTGTGAATAGAAACTTTTGACTTGTGGAGTTTTGAAATGAACTTGGCTCATGTACCATGCTACATCTTGTAGGTCGAGAATGAGATGAGTACTAATGGCTGTCCTCAAAACCATTTTTCTCATGCCAATACGTGCACAGGACAAATAAGCCTTCTCTGGAGTAAGTTCAAATTGAAATCCAAGGTTTCTCATCTGTGGAAGTGACATCAACAATGGGACATCACCTTCTTCGACAATGTCGAATTCTGTAAACTGAGTGTTCCATCCATGATCATACATGAATATCACGAGCTTCTCAGTACATTTTGATTGTTGTGAGTTTGCAAAGAAGAATCTTGAACTTGTTGGCTGAATTTCATACCAGAGTCCACTGTTGGGATGTGAGTCAACATATCTGCAAAATGCTTCAACTGCTCGTCGAGAGCCCATAGCTCTTGTGCATCCAAGATCCAGAATACACACAGTTGGTGGTGCAGAATTCTCTGTGTGAAAAGCTAGTCCATTCTCACATGCCAGATCAGTTTGTACAGTATGAAATGAAAAAGCACTCTGCTGTGATGGTTCCTCTATCTCTGTAGAGCATCCATGTGAAAACAATGTTGTGCCTTTTGCCAATGGCTTCCATGAAGCCTCACCTTCTTGAAGACCAACTTGCCTGGGCACTACAGCTGGACGTTGTTGTACACCTTGTCGTAGTGCACCAACTTCTCCAACCAGAACAGGGAATCTCTTCATTTCTCTCCTGTTTTGATGTGCTCTTGCATCACGTTGGTTCTGTCCTCCACGACGAGTACGTCGTTGTTCATCTTGTGCTGCATACGTGGATGTCAAAACATCAACACGTGCTGGCTCTGTCTCTGCAACATCAACACGTGCTGGTTCAGTTGTTCCAAATGAAAAGAAACCATGACCAGAACTTGAAGCTGCAGAAGAATAATGAGCTTGTTGAGTTTGTTGATTCTGTATGGCAGGAGCTGATGTGGTCTGAGGTTGAACATAGTTCGACTTGCCTTTTCCATCTCCTGGCTTTCCTCCTTTTCCATCATCATCCTTGCCTTTCTTGCCTTTTTTTCCTTTTCCTTTTCCTTTCTTCTGGAAGTATCCATACTCATCCATGTAGTACAGATCATCATAGGCCCAATAGCCTTCATTCCAGGTTTGATCATCGGCCCAATAGCCGTCATAGTTTTCATTCCATTCATCTTCTTGCCATTCATCTTCATAACCTTCTTCACTCACCATGTGAGCACGGCCTTTTCTTCTTCCTTTTCCTCGGCCTTTTCCTTTTCTTGATTTGAAGAACCTTCGTCCTCCTCTGCCTTTTCCTTTTCCTTTTCTCTTTCCTTTACCTTTGCCTCGTCTGATGTATTTGCCTTGGAACCTTCTCTGATACCATGTGAAGTTGGCGTCATCATAAACCCAGAAAACATCTTCTAAGGCATCCAGGAATCCTTCTGCGCCGTCTTCTTCATCTTCGGCCCAATAGCCGTCGGTTCCTTCTAATTCACCTTCATCCAGTACGAGGAAAGATCTTCTCTGTGCCATGCCAGAGGGTTGCATCAATGGATTGTCAACTGCTGTTTTGGTAGTGCAAAACATTTCCAAAAACAGGTCACGTAGTTCTTGAATACTGTATCGATCGAGGGTTCGTCCACGATGTGTCATGATACTTGTGAGTGTGTTTCTCTGATCTTGACTCAGGTCAGCTAGACTTACAAAAATCAATGCTAGCAAATTTTCACCCAGTGGGAATGCTTGTCGCTGTGCTTCTCTACGATTTTCCTGAAATTGTCTGAATGCCGCTAGTGCCAGTTCATCTGTCCAAGGAACAGCTACATGGGGTGTTCCTGAGGCTGCTGCTACTTCAGCTCTCTCTTGTTGATCTCGTTCATGTTCTTGACGTCGTTGTTGAACAAACAGAATTGCTTCAGGACTAGTCACTGTTACTTCTGGAAGTAAATCCATCCAAGACTCAATAAGTCTATTGCCAGTGAGTTGAAATCTAGTCATCCACTTCTGAAGATCCATTGTTCCTCTGTTGAACTTCATGAACTGCATGAAACGGTATAAGAACACGTTCTGGGCACCTTTGATGAAATGAGGTCGTAGAAATCTTTTGAAATAAGCCACTCCTTCATAGGGATCCCTGAGTAATTCTCTATCCAATAGCCTCTTGTATTGTTGAGCATCTCCTTCCAGTCTGTTGCGCAATGCTGGACCACGTTTCTCTGGTTCTAACTCCGTAATGTCACACCAGTCATCAATTGCATCCTCAAAAGCAAAGAAGCTGGTTCGCCCATCATAGGCTGGAGCAACCTTTGTGGTCATCTGTTGCGTCATATGAATCTGTGTATGCTGGGGTGCTCTTCTCATTGCATAAGAGTCATATTGGTTCCATTCATTTGCATCGACAATGTCGAAGTCATCATCATCATAGCCATGGCTTGCCATTTCTTGGGCTCTACCTGGAGCTCACCCTCAATGAGGGATCACTGCTCCGCTACCACTTGAAGAGGGGCCCTAGCGTCTACTTCAAGATCAGCTAAGGCGTCTTCCCCAATGACAGCACTCTTTTACTCTCAGCCTGTTGCCGGTCAGTGCTTGTCTACAGGGTTACTCTATATACCTCTTGAGCCTTGAGGGGCGCATATAAATGTGCTCAATACTCATGCATGTACCTATGTAGGTATTAGGTCGAAACAAAAACAGGGGCCCCCCCCCCCCTTGAAAGGCGGACCGAGACATAACCGGCCCAAACTCTTGCACTTGCACCGCTCGCCCCCTAATACTTGCTACGCAAGGGGGAACTCAGGTAGCTCACCGCTACCTTTCGAGATATGGGAAGGCGCACAAGTGCTTCTTAAATAGAAGGCTTCTAACCCAAACATAGAATAGCCCATGTGCCACTGAACATCTGCCCATTTGGGCGTGTCTGAAAATGGTAAATGCTACCTCAAAAGGCAGTTGAATTGATACAATGATGGTCAACCATTGGCCTTTACTGTATATAGACAGATAATGACAAACATATATAATTATTATATAGCACCTCCACATAGAGATAGGAGTGAATGGTAGTGGCAATTTGTTCCTTTTCAATCTTTGGTGGTTTTTAATTTATATATCATATATGTAATAGACTTGCTATCATGGTCATGAGGCAACTAACTGGCACGCACCATCCGGTTGGCTCCTCGAGCCATTGACCCTCGTACACATCGCCGGTGGCACAAACCAACGTCCCTGGACCACCTTGGAAGAGCCGTCGGAAAGATGAGGGATTTCAGCATCAAACATGGTGCATTTCACCGGGAAAATATGGATCGGAAAAGCCAGAAAATATGAGACATCATCATTTTTAAACAGGGTTCACTCGATTTTTTCCCTACATCCAGTTCTGGGAGCAAAGGTATGTTGATACATATAAAAAAAAAACACACACCTGACTAAATGGAAATCAGCATGATGTGAAGATGCAATGAAAAAACTATGCGCGTGCAGACGCACACCACGAACCGCAACGGGACAGGTTTAATAGTACTAAATATACTAAGTGGGTGATCCTCCATAAAATTGGTGTTATTTCTCAATCATCTCATCTCACTAAATGATGGCTACCCTAACTCCCTATTTAAAAAAACGCGTTGAATCCAGATGCCAGCACTTGAAATTCCACCGATGTCTAGATCGGAAGCTGGTTGCCTGGTTGCATCTTCAACGCTACGATGTAAGTCTTTATAAGGCTATTACTTATTACTGGAATATATATATATATACATATACATATACTACTGTATATATATGGAGACTATGAGACTATTACTTCATAATACAGTAATATACTTAATAATATATGTTCATTCATTTGAAGTATTCCAAGTCAAGACCTAAACTAGTCCCAGTCCCATAGATCCTATTAGGAAACCTGCACCGATCAGCAGCGCTCCCCTCACGCCGCGGAACTCGCTTTGTCCTCGTGGAATTCGCCTTCATAGCGGCTGCCATCCTCAGAACCACAGATGGAAACCTATAAGGTCAAGGGCACAATCAAGGATTTAACTGTTCATATTGATTTCACATCATTTAGCGATCCAAAAATGGAGATGCCACCAATGAATATATGAATAATGATGTCTAGTGATCAATGGGTTGGTTGAACCAAAACCTAGAGGAAAGCATGGCTTTAGCTCCACCTATGGAGGTGTCTTCAAATTATTTCGGTGAATTCTAAAGGAGATGATCCCCCAAGATGGAGAGATTGTAGAGTGTAGGCCAGCATCATCGGCTGTGGAGAAGAATGAGGGAACATACCGTTTGGAGAATATACAGTGCTCATCAGTACTCTCTCCTCACATACCTGGTGATCGATCTATTTTCGCGCTTTTCATAAGTCAAACGTGATGACATGCATCCGTTTTGGTATGCTTGGTGAATCCGTGCGACATTAGTTGTTTAAAGCTGGTTTTTGCCGATGGAACTTCCACTTGTTGAAACATTAATTCGCTCCTGTAGTGGGGGCGTTTCGAGTCCTGTTCAAAGAAATCCAAGTCCCAACTTGGGGGTGCAAAGACAAAAGTTCATCATAAAATCTGATCAAATCCAATCTCTTTCAAACCCCATCCATTGAAGTCACCAAGACCAAAACCCATTAATCAGCATAGATAACTAACAACAAATCTTCAAAATCACTTAGAAGTTGAAGATCCATTGATCAAACTCCCAAACTCATTGGCTAAATTCTGATCCGCCATGCCGCGCCGAGCGGCAGGCCGCTCCAAGATGCCGTAGCCGGTCTTCATTCCATCCTCCACGCTGCGAGCTCGGAGCTGAAACCGGGATTCAGGGAGCTTGGCCAACGGCCAGAGGTTTTTCTGCTGGGCCACCCGGAAAACAAGTTCTAGGTAATATATATATATATTTATATTTATATTTTTTGTGTATGACTGTATATATGTATAACATATATATATGTAATATACATATATATATATATATATATGTAATATAAATAAATATATATATATACAATAATATATATATACATATATATATATTAACGGATATATACTATAGATTCTATATATTATATTATATATATATTACATTATATATATATATATATCCGCGTGTGTGTGTGTGTGTCTTCATTCCCGGAACTTCCCAACCTTTACGGATAAACCAGTCGGAACATGACAACAAGAATGTTGACATCAAATGCAAGGACATAGCTGGTGGCTAGTGTAATTCACGTGCATGTGTTGATCAACAGCAGATATTTTTGTGAGAAATGCGCATCTATCTGTACCCAGTACCGGTAACATGGCAAATCTTAGATACCCTGCCCTTCTCCCGCTAGTATATCTGTAACAAAATATGAATTGACAATGAAAGGAGTACTCTGTCCAGGGTTGACCCAGAATGCGGTTTTATTCCCACTATACCCCACTGTTCTTTAAATCCAGCCTATAATAAATCCTCAAAACTCACCATATTTCCAAATTTATCCCTGGTTTCGCATGGTTTATCTGCTGGACATACATTATTCCTCATGACATCCCATTAAAACCCATGAAAAATCTCTATTTGTTGATGGCTAGCACACTCCAAGTAGATAGGAACAGTTGGACACCTGGAAACTCTGGAGGAAACATCATCGAACCACCATCCTGGTCACACACTTTTCGGGATCTTTCTTGGGACCGCCCTAGACCAATTTTGACGGAAATGATCCAAGTTGAACCGGACTGGTTGCTTCTATCCCCACTATATCCTCAGTATGGTTGTATAAATCTTCAGCTTTATCCCAGCACCATACTAATAGCTGGACATACAACCTACAAGGATATCCTCATGAAATCCCATGAAAAATCGATTAGTGAAACCACGATTTGTTGATGGTTTTTCCAAGGTTCACCCAGGTTCTTGGCAGAAACCATCCATGGGATTCTGCAGTTTTCAAACCCGAAGGATCTCCTGGAATTTGCCCAGAAACCGCAGGCCGCCGTCGAGGAACACGGCGGAGTTCTCCTCCTCCGTCGGATCCTGGCGGTTTTCAGCGGTTGCCGTCAGAAGGGGATGGCATGGTTTTGGGATCTAGCCATAGGAAAAAAAAACATCTAAAATTGATAAAGGTGTGGGGATTTCCATGTTTTTATTTTTCGGACAATCAAACGATGTTTTCAAACGAAAAAGAAGCATCACACAAGGTGTTTAGATGTGTTTAGTCACCAAACATGAGCACACAATCAAATAAACATGTGAGTTTATATTGCGTTATGCGTTATGCATCTGGCAACCCACCAGTTGTGATTCCCGGAAGGGGCTTGGGACAGCAGGGAAACCAGAAGGAGCATAGCAAACCAGCGACCAAGTGGAACGCGACCCGTCAAGAAAAATTGATCAAACATGATCAAGCTACTTCCCACATCTTCCACAAAACCGAACATCTGTTTCGAATGTCTAAGATCAGTGACGAGAAGCAATACGGCAAGGACCAAGAGGGACAGGTGGTCCATAGTCCATAGGCTCATAATTCCAGATTTCTATTTCTATGCCATTAGCATCCGTTCGTTTCTTCCTCTCTAGTCTGAAATATGCAACAAAAAATGTTGGTAGTTGGTGACCTCCATCTTTTACCACACCAAAACCACCACTATTTCCTGGTGGACGTTGGGCCCCACACAATATTGACCCGGTCCCAGCGCCCCGACATGGGAATGGGGCATGGAGGGTGACATGCTCGGCATGGACACCGCAAGCTCATTCCGGCCGGGAGCATCCTGGCCTTACAAAGGTCAGCAGGACCCACACCCCCCCCTCCGAGGTGACTCCCCCAAGAATTAATAATAAGGGTTTATCAACTATCAAAAATAGTGCAATAACTATACCTATAATGAGTCATATATCACCAACACTTTGATAACTAACCACCGGCAATCAACAAGGGCAAATTTTCAACATCGCAGCGTTCAGCTTCTGCCGAGTTCCCAGAACCGTTGTAAAAAAATCATTCAAATACCGCGCTAGAAGCCATGGATTTTTATTGGATCTACTCATATCTACTCACATGATCCAATCAGGGGGGGTATCCACTACGGGAAAGGGATTATATAATCAAAATGATCATGTTTCAAACACGCGGCCAGCAACAGGTTCACCAAAGAGGACATGACTGAACAAAAACACAGCTGGCAGTGGAGATTGAATTTCTACCCAACAACCGGAAGGTGGCCAGTTGTATCCTATCCCATTACTGGCTCAAGTTGCTGGGATCAGAAACTGGGACTGCACCAGCCCCAGCACATGTAACCCATCCCAATTTTCAATGGGCTTATGTATAGTGAAAAAACTTCAAGCGGAACCCATGGTTGTTTTAACATATTTCAACCAACAAAATTCGGAGTTTGCTACAGTTTCCCGTGAAAATTCCCATCATCAAGTTCAAGGAAAGTAGTTTAACTGGTATTCAACACAAAGATGCACAAGCAGGGCCGGCCACCCTGCAGGCACCTGGTTCTAGGATTTCGTAATATTCATTGGTTGGTGGCTTCAACCCATGAAAACACAAGGACCGCATCTTCTGCAGCAGGAGCATTTCGGAGCAGAGTCTGATTGGGTGAGGTGAAGAAAAGGTGGCGCAACAAAATCACAGGAAGAACAAGAAAATGCAGCCCTGACATCCAACAGGAAAATCCCAACATGGCCGTATCCAATCTGAATAATTATAGCAGAACATATCCGACAATAACCTTCCCAACCATAATCCAAAGTAGTTCGATGCCATTCAAGTATATAATGTAAAGTATGATTACTTGTATTTTGTTTATAGATATAATTCTATGCAATTATATTATCTATAATTAAAAATATAGATATAGCATGATATAGCTAACCTTCCCTGGTCTGCTTTAAGAGCATTCTCCCGTCAGCTTCTCAGCTTCAGCGGCTGGACAGTCCACGCTCCACCAGGCCGGCCCCGTTCTCGCTACAGCAACAAGGCGGAAGAAGCAAATTCCCCATGGCCCATGGCACGGTCCGGGGCCCCTGCGGCTACATTTAAGGCACCCAACAAGCTGGGGGAAACCCCGCACAGTAAGTAGGGACTGGTTGGGGGTAGTGGGTGGGGGATGAAACTGGCAATGGCTAGGAGCTGAAGCCATGAAGCATGTGGGATGAATATGAGGTAAGCCTTCCAATCGATTCCGTTACGGCGTTGATCCTGCCCCCGCCGATCTGCTCATTGTGCCCTGCCCTTGTGCCCAAAGCGCTGGCAAAGATCTCAGGAGGTTGTGTCGGGTCTTGGGTGAGTTAACCATGTCCATGGACCGAAAGGTGATGTGTGGCACCAAGCAAAGGAAGGAAACAAAAGAACCCACTCGACTCCTACTTGAGGGTGCAGTTGAGGTTACAATAGATATAAAGAAATTAAATAAATGAATATAACCATGGTTATAGACCCCCATTAGTTGGGACGTAAGCTAGCAAACCTCATAACTAGTATATATATATATGTATATATATACACTTCTAACTGGGGCTGCACTTTCAGGTAGTCAAAAACCTTGGCTCAACCACAATCAACCGATAAAGGATGGTCCACAAAACATGGGTGCTACTGATGAGAATCAGTGAGGTTTGCCAGTAGCGAATGGGAAATCACCATGTCTGCGATCACGAGTTGATTGTTGAAGTTGCTGCTTGTATGTCCACACACGCATACAGGGCCTATCGGCACAAAAAAATATGTATACAGTAATTTCCCTCTCTCTCCTCTCTCTGTACTTCTATATCCCATGTTGATGAGTACAATCCGGCTATGTAACAAACTTCCTTCAGGATCCTTCTGGTTGTGTCTTCCCAACTTGCCCCCACCGGGTATCATCTGGGCAAAGTCCTGTTGACCCATCTGGGATGCAGGCACAGCCCACGGCCACAACACCCTCTTTTCCCGCACTGTCCAGTAAAGGCGCTCTCACCTCAGCGCTTCGACTCTGCAGCTGGTAGAAAAGTCACCAGGAACAAGCTTCAGCTATAACAGCTGTTTCCTATTCAGTGGTGATATGTGGTGATACGGTTGGATTGGGCGTTCTTTTCTCTTGTCTCTTTCAACCTTCTCATTGGCTGGGCAGGTTGCATCCCGTAAGCGGCATATATGAGGATTTTGTCCCATCATGTGCTAGCTAGCTTCTCGATGGGATTGCGAAACAAAGAGAACTAAATCTACAACTAACCATTGTCAAACAAATATATTGTGAGAGGGCAGGGGTCAGATGCAAAGCGCAATAGAAGCATGGTGGGGACAACCAACGTAACAATGGAACATAGTTGTGAGAATTGGACTTACTGGTATCTTAGTATATATTCTGGTTGGTGGTTTCAACCCCTCTGAAAAAATATTGGTCAGTGTCAGTTGGGAAGATTATTCCAAATATCTGAAAAATAAGAATATCCCAAATCACCAACCAGTATTGGTCTCGTAGTCTAAGGACACACCCGCACATATAGCACACAATATGGTTGGTGCTCTCAAGTGCTCTCCTCACCTGCACCGCGAATATATTGGATTTGCCCAAGGGCTACACAAGCAAATAACACATCTCCAACATACATCCCAATTTCTGCCGAGTTCCCCCTTTATCCATCAACAAAGTCAACAACAACCCGGAACCCCCACTCACCCAGGAACAAAAACAATTCCACAAAAACGAGAATCAACATTTTGGTTAATTTCCATGAACTTCCCATTATACAATCCGTGTTAAAGAAAGACGCCAAGGACAAAAGCAGCAGCTTTTCCAGCTCCCAACTCGCGTGTCGCGCGGACGCAGTGACCAGCGACCAACTCAGATGATGCCGATGCGATTGGCCACGTCCAGAGCATCGTAGTCCTGGGTCAAGCGAACGTAGGCCTTCTTCTTCCTGACAGCATAAACGGTTTAACCGAATATGAGGAAAACATTGTCTTGAACCATGAAACTTGGGGATCTACGGTACCAGGGATATAACCAACTTGGAATGGGCATTAAAAAAATGAACATCATGAAGATATAGTTGGAAAAAATGGGGAGGGGTTAAGCCATGAATGATGGACTGGCGGGATAATTTTGGGGATATTCCATGGGAATATACCAACCATAGTGGGATGATAATGATTTAATGGTGACAGTGACAATCATGAGATATGTACAGTGGTCAACTTGATATGATATTTGAGTGTGTTTGCACATGAGGTATGCCCCCAAAATGAGGAGAATGACTATTAGTCAGTGGATTTGGGGAAACCCTATTTACAACCAAAACCATTTGTTTAAAGCTGGGTCCAACCGTCCCTATTTGTGATCTTGCACTAAACTGTGCTGGTATGGCTCAGGTCCAAGATTGAAGTTATCAAACTGGTACTCTCCATCTTGCTACCCTACGTTCAAGACTGCAGAATGAAACTGTATTAAACTCCTCAAGGATGAACCAAAACACGAATCAACATGGATTAACCACCTATGGACCAAGGTTGAATGTCCCATTGATCCAAGGCTCCCATCAGGGCGGATGAGGGTGTTGACCTTGGCGCACTTCACATCGTAGAGCTGCTTCACAGCGTCCTTGATCTTGGGCTTGGTGGCCTTGACATCCACCAAAAACACCAAAGTGTTGATCTCCTCAATCTTCTTCATGGCGGACTCTGTGGTCACAGGGCACTGGATGATGCGGTACTTGTCCAGCTTGTCCCCTCGAGACTCCACGGACTTTCGAGGGTATTTGCCATTCCTGGCCTGGAGGTTGAGCCATGCACCCCAAAAGGGAAAACATTGGTGTCAGTTGGGATCTTCATCATGAAAAGGGTTGCAACTCATCAAAGCAATGAATGAAATATGATGAAACCAGAAACAATTGGCCTTTTCCAAGGTCTTGGGCTTGTAGAAGCGAACCTTGGTTCGGATCTTCTTCACCTCAACAGGGTGCTACAATGAGGAGACTGGACTGATGGATGGAAACATGTCATGCAGTTGCTCTATGTTTCTGCCGATGTGTTTTTTCGCAGCAAGATTCGATGACAGTCATTTTGAAACAAAAGGCAATGCGACTACAGCAACTGCTTTTGATGGGCTGGTGTTGGGCCCTTACTAGTTATTTCACCCCTTCCGGTATGTTGTAAACAATCACATTCTTCAAAACATGCAGGAAACAAGAAATATAAAACCAAACACATCCCTAAAAACGCAAAACAACAATCCAGAAAAACGGTGGTGTCAGTTCCCCAAGGCCCATTTATTACACAGCTTCATCACCACAAAAAGTTTCATCCATTTTCGGGGCGTTTCTCCATGGAGCCCCCCCATGTGTTTGCCACCTTCTTGCCAACGCTGGTCTTCACCGCTTTCGCCGCCTTCTCGGCTTTGTCGGCCTTGGCCTTGTCGGCCTTCTTAGGCGCCATGCTGCGTGCGACGGGAACTGGCAGGGGTTTTCCGCTGGAGCCGGGCGGATGGGACGATTTCATAAGCAAAACTGGGGGGTCCACATAGGATTTGGCAGAAAAACATGATGTGGTGAAACACCATATGGTGATGCAACTAAAGCTGAACTCTTGTGTGTCTGTGACATTGAAGCGTGTCTAGCCATCCATCTCGCGGACCTAGTTCAAACCCAGTCTGCCCATAGCTCCCCAAATCTTCAAAATCAGGGGGAACCAACAACTTTCTAATCTAAGATCTCGGCATCAATGAACATCAAGGAACATCAATCGGCATCAACCCGGGTTTCACTTACCATGGAGTCAACATTCCATTGGTCACCAGCGGCCCGGCGTCCCCAATGACTGGGCCAATGATTTGCCCTGGTTGGATTGGGATCGTCACAAATCAGATGGAGAACAACCAATAATTAAATCATATTAAATCATATTATATAATTGTATATATGGCCACCATTCAGTAATGTTTTCACGGATAATGCTCAGAACCTGCAGGGTTCTTGTCCTTTAGGTCAAGTGCAGATTTCTCATGCCAGAACCTACCGGACCTACCGACACTGTTGCGACCGATTTTTCCCTCAGCAGCATCACGCACACAAAGTGGTCGATTTAAATGATGCCAATGCGATTGGCCACGTCCAGGGCATCATAGTCCTGGGTCAAGCGAACGTAAGCCTTCTTCTTCCTTGGTATGGATGGATCGAAAGGCCTCAAGAAACTGGGCAATCTGAACTAAAATACCACAAACCTGAACTAAGATTAAATAACAATAATGCATTTCAAGTAATGATTCTCACTCAGTAGCCTCGCATATCTGCATGACTTACCAATAATTACTGTCCTTCACCCGGCTTCACGCACCAGCCAGCCGGTATGACACAGGAACAAAAATCAGACACCAAAAACCAGCAGTGAGCCTCTTTGAGAATAGAGTCTGTGGAAAGGATCAACTATGATTTCGGGATTGTTTTGGATGTGTTGGCAAGGACAAGGTTATGCCCCATATTGCTAGCCAAGCTGGTTTGAAAGACGTTATAAGTTATAAGTATACACATTCACAGTCGGCACCACCTTGCAAGCAGCCAAAACATTCCGAAATGGCTGAAACATAGTAACCGGCATCTTCCACTAAACTGCCGTTGTGCTGGTATGGCTCAGGTCCAAGATTGAAGTTATCAAACTGGTACTCTCCATCTTGCTACCCTACGTTCAAGATTGCAGAATGAAACTGTATTAAACTACTCAAGGATGAACCAAAACACGAATCAACATGGATTAACCACCTATGGACCAAGGTTGAATGTCCCATTGATCCAAGGCTCCCATCAGGGCGGATGAGGGTGTTGACCTTGGCGCACTTCACATCGTAGAGCTGCTTCACAGCGTCCTTGATCTTGGGCTTGGTGGCCTTGACATCCACCAAAAACACCAAAGTGTTGATCTCCTCAATCTTCTTCATGGCGGACTCTGTGGTCACAGGGCACTGGATGATGCGGTATTTGTCCAGCTTGTCCCCTCGAGACTCCACGGACTTTCGAGGGTATTTGCCATTCCTGGCCTGGAGGTTGAGCCATGCACCCCAAAAGGGAAAACATTGGTGTCAGTTGGGATCTTCATCATGAAAAGGGTTGCAACTCATCAAAGCAATTAATGAAATATGATGAAACCACAAATCATTGGCCTTTTCCAAGGTCTTGGGCTTGTAGAAGCGAACCTTGGTTCGGATCTTCTTCACCTCAACAGGGCAGACATGCACGCGGCCCGAGTTGCCTTTCCAATCCATTCTCAGGAAACCTCTGACGGCCCCATGGTAACCAATATCCGATAAATTTCATCAAAATGTGGAATTGCAGTCAACGTCTGGGTTTCGCAGTACGTGATTTTTGTCTGTCGGAACCTTCTGCTTGAAAAATAACAGAAATACTCGCGCCACCATGGGTGCCTCGACCAAAAGAAAACGACAACAATAACCCCAGCATGTCCCAGCAATTTGCCTTTACGCAGGCTTATCATGACTTCATGCCCGAATTTCAATCCCACTGATCTGCCTTAAATGCTTAATTATGGCATCAGGTTAGTATTTTATAACCAATCCGAAACCCAATGTCAACAAACATCAAAATACCCACAAGTTATCACAAGTTGGTGCCCTCAAAAAAAAAGTTACTTTATAAGCGTATTAGCTAGGGCTTATTGTATTTCAATGATCCACAGGCAAATTGGGTTTAACAATCCAACAATCACAACTGAGGCCTTGCAAGGCGAAGGCAAGACCTTGAAATGGCACGAAAAAACATGGGACAATCACACCTCGTTTCACTTATTCACCATCGTAGGTTTGGTGGGTTAATGCGTCCATGCACGGCTTGTAGTGAAACCATAAAGCGACGCAATAAATCACATGTTCCTCCGTGTAAAACCGGCAGCAATCCCATCACCACATGGAGGTGTCCTAAAACAATGGAAGCAATCACCAAAAGCATTATCCATGATCTGTTCCATGATAAAACCCATTGGTGGAAAACAGTTGCCCCAGCCTTTTTGGCAACGTTGGTCTTTACCGCTTTGGCCGCCTTTTCGGCCTTGTCGGCCTTCGTCTTCTCGGCCTTCTTGGGCGCCATAGCGATTTTCACCGTCGTGCGCGTTTCGGATGGTGCCGTCCCCCTTGAGCCGGCAGAGAGTGGCATAAAAGGGCAATGGGGGTCATCACATGAACCCTTGGAACGGCGTGATTTACGGTAGGTGTAACAATGTGATCTTGTTAAACATATATATAAAAAAAAACATCGTTGAGATCCGAAGCATGCCAACTCTGGCGTTTTTTTCTCACATTTTGCCCTGACTTCTTGTGGAAACACTGCGAGAACCACTTTGTTTTTCAATGAAGATCTCTGAAGTGAGGTTTGGAAAATGATCAGAAATTACATCGAACAAACATTGGATACTGGTTTGCACATAAGAAAATCAAGATTTCTTGCATGTTTTTCTTCATCCAGCTATAAAGGAAACGTATGCCATTTGCCGCACGAGCCATGTTTCCGAGCATCTAAGAAGTATCAACCACAATGTCAACCCTGGATCAATAAACCCCTGGGCCCCTGGATTGTTTTATTGCAGAGTTATCATTTTTTGGTAGCAAATCATCACTTTCTGGAGGTAACACACGCCAGTCAATCAACCAGAGTTTATTAATCCGGAAATGGGATAACAAACTTAAGGATATATAACAAACATATATAATGGGATATGATTCATTCTGCAAGTGTCCTTCCGTACTCACGCGATGTCTAGAAACAACACTCGTTACCCCAATCCTGCTGTTTCAAAAAATATTGTTTGAACATGCTTGAACCTGCACATCAATGAGCTGTCTACCTTAGTCATCTTCTGGCTACACCCAAAACAACGCAACGCTGCTGTGACCCCAGTTGTTGTTTTCATACCTAACTACGGGTTAGAAACAAAAGATAACGGAAAAAATACGTTGGAAACAAACATGTGCAGTTTCATGTTACCTTCATCCGGCCATCCTTCGGTGTCCATCTGCTTTTTTCCTCTCTGGTTCGACGTTTTCTCAGGTACCAGTCCAACATCTTAAATGATGCCAATGCGATTGGCCACATCCAGGGCATCATAGTCCTGGGTCAAACGAACGTAGGCCTTCTTCTTCCTTGCAAGGGATGGATGGAGTAACCCAGGTGGCCAGTAATGGATTAAAACCCAGGTGGCAAAGTGATGCAAAGTGCCATGCGTCAGGAACTTGAACCGAGATGCATGAGGAAATTTATCAAAACTAAGCATCAACGTAACACAGGGTTCTTGACTCTTCAACTTGAAGGGGTGCCCTAGCCAGTTGCGGCATGTTGCAGCAGCATGTTGCTTGTATATGATCAAACATGTAATAGATGCAGTTAGTCAAATATTTAGAAAGTAAACAAATTGCATTGCGAGGTAACTCCACACCACCAACTCTCTCTGCCAAAGCGCACATGCATGCCTTGCAGGCAAGAACATACCATGCGATGTGTGAAATCAAAAGTGATAAATCATATGAATCTGAAAACCACTATTGAACCAGGGATCTTTACATTATACATTTAATCGTATACACATTGTTTACTGCCTTGAACATGAACTCCCTGACATGTTGGTACCCATATGTATGTTACCAAGTCAGGTACTGAACGAACCATTTTAAACGATCTATTACTAACCACCAAAGTTCCCATCAGGGCGGATGAGGGTGTTGACCTTGGCGCACTTCACATCGTAGAGCTGCTTCACAGCGTCCTTGATCTTGGGCTTGGTGGCCTTGACATCCACCAAAAACACCAAAGTGTTGATCTCCTCAATTTTCTTCATGGCGGACTCTGTGGTCACAGGGCACTGGATGATGCGGTACTTGTCCAGTTTGTCCCCTCGAGACTCCACGGACTTTCGAGGGTATTTGCCATTCCTGGCCTGGAGGTTGAGCCATGCACCCCAAAAGGGAAAACATTGGTGTCAGTTGGGATCTTCATCATGAAAAGGGTTGCAACTCATCAAAGCAATGAATGAAATATGATGAAACCACAAATCATTGGCCTTTTCCAAGGTCTTGGGCTTGTAGAAGCGAACCTTGGTTCGGATCTTCTTCACCTCCGCAGTCTTGGATGGGATTCCAAGCAGGCAGGTGTTCACACGACCATGAGGCTATCATGGAGTATCATTGTGTAAACAACTGCCATTATAACTTATAACATCCGTTCGTCTTGCAATGCACAACGGCCACTTAATAAGGTTTTCAACTGCACGGTCTTGGGGCGCCCACTGTTTTCAGACACGCTACATATAGTAGTGGGTGTGCCGAAAATAATTTGACCACGGTTTCTTGAAAAAAAATGCCAAATGCATCCTCAGTAGTCTTTGCGGCAAAAATCATCATTTATATAAATGCTACTAATGTTGCCGGAATGTACATCAACATTTACCCGGGAAATTTTCCCTACTGGAACTCCGTAACGGTGGGCGAAAGTTACCTCAATTGTTTTGTCTCATGTAACTCCGCACGATCCTTGTCATATGTCTGAACAACAGCGGTTTTTATTGCATCAACCCTTACAGTTACTATGAAGGGAACATCATATCGGTACACATTTATATGTGAGATTTTACCGGCTTGTTGAATTTTTCCCCCATGTGTAACTCCGATCGTTCTTGCGGCGAGCATTTGATTTCAAACATTCAAACCCGTCAATGTTTCACAAACTCAAACAAATTTGTTCCCCACCTGTCTGGTGAGGGTTGTTAGATTTCATGTCAACTGGCGTCCTCCTTCTCCGCCGCCTCCTTCGCCTTCTCCGCCGGACCTCAACTGCAAGCTTCTGATCGCTGTGTTCCCCGCCGGACCCAAGCAGCAAGCTCAGGACCAGAGTATATCAGACTGTTCCCCGCCGGATCTCAACTGCAAGCTTGCGATCGCAGTGTTTCCCGGACTTCAACTGCAAGCTTGTGATCACAGTGTTCCCTGCCGGACCCGAACAGCAAGCTGAGGATCAGAGCGTTCCCCGTCGGAACCGAACAGTAAACTCAAGATCAAAGCTCCCCGGACCCCAACTGCAGGCGCTAGATCGCAGCGTTCCCCGCCGGACCCGAACAGCAAGCTCAGCATCAGAGTGTTCCCTGCCGGGCCTCGACCACAAAGAATCTCCAGAGAGATAATATCAGATAAACAACCAGAAGGAAGGTCAGAAAACATGTCAGGTAGAATGCTAAAAGAGAGTGTCAGAATATATGTCAGATAGACTGTCAGAATATATGTCAGATAGAATGCCAAATACAAAATTAGAATTTATGTCAAATAGAATTTCAGTTGGTGGGGATCACTCGAAGAAAGTAATTTATCGTTGTTTGGTGCGGAAAACCTGGAACTGAGCGAGATGCTGAGCGAGATCAAACAACATGCCCAGCGTCCCCCAGCCCACCTGAGCCCTGATCCTGACCATCTTTACTATTACCCAAACAGTGTGTCCACACTGAAGGGTTCTTACGGTAGCAGTAAAGGACGATCCTTGATCAGATGGCTCAGACATTTTTCCTGTAAATTTCCGTTAAAAAAATCCACAAAGTGTGCCCTTAGTTTTTGCTGCAAACTCGTACGCAAAGTGGCTCTTGTGACATGTGCAAGTGTATGTTGATTTCGCAGGCCCGCACAAAGATGCACAAAGTGTGCGCCTAGGCTCGGGCACTTTTCCTCTCAATTTCCGGGCGCAGTGGCTCTTCTAACATGTCCAAGTGTATTTCGCCTGCGCAGGCTCGCACAAAGTGTGCACCTGGGTTCTGGGTTCGGCATTTTTCCAACAAATTTCCACACAAAAAGGCTCTTGGGATGCTCTTGTGCCATGTCAACGTCTATTTCGGCTGCGCAAACTCACACAAAACGCGCTGCGCGGTCTTGGGATCGGCCCTCCTCCTCCGCATCAGCATCCTCAGTATCATCATCTTCCTCTCCCTCAGCATCATCATTCTCAACATCATCCTCTTTCTCCCCCTTCACATCATCATCCTCAACATTATCATCTTCTCTTCCTCCTCAACATCAACGTTCTCAACGTCATCATCTTCCTCCCCCTTGACATCATCATCATCATCCACCCCATCTTCCGCAACATCATCACCCTCCACCTCATCTTCCGCAACATTATCATCCGCAACATCATCGTCCGCAACATTTTCAAGCTCATCCTTATCACCACAATCATCATCACTGTCACTATCATCATCAACACTATCATACATTATCCTCCCACTCCCCCACACTGTTTGGGGTCTCTTGCCGGGATATATATATTTTTTTTTTACATGGTGTTGATCCATGTTATGTATTTTCCGGATCCCATCTTATTCAAAACCGAGGACAGCCGGGTAGACTCACAATCCAATCGGCAACCCTGTTGATTTAAAACCATTCCCCTCCCGTAACCAACTGTGGCAATGAAAAATTAACAATTTATATTTTGTTTTTTCAATCATATATTGGGCAGTTACCCTACCACGTCTTCTTTAGAGCCTTTGGGGGGTTCGTGTTCTGTTAAAAGGGTCCACATGTTCTGTAAACAGGGGTCCACGTGTTCTGTGAAAAGGGGTCTCGTGTTCTGTAAAAAGGGCCCCCGTGTTCTGTAAAAAGGGTCCCCGTGTTCTGTAAAAAAAAACCTCATGTTCTGTAAAAAAAATCATGCGTTCTGTAAAAAGAGGTTTTTGTTCTACAAAAAAGGGCCTTGTGTTCTGTGAAAAGGGGTCTCGTGTTCTGTAAAAAGGGTCCTCGTGTTCTGTAAAAAGAGGCTCTTGTGCTCCGCAGTACCGGAGAACAAAGGTCATTTTTTTTACGATACAACTATAGGTTCTTGACAGTACATATGCATTCTTTTAAAGAACCAATATGATTTTTCACAACACACATGTAAACTTTTTACAGAATATGTTTTTCCAAAACATATGGTTACGCACGTAATCTTTTTGCAGAACAAATGTCATTTTTTTTAGCGTACAAACGTGGATTTTTACAGAACAAACGTGTTTAATTTACAGAACAAATGCCCTATTAGCTTGCAAATCCAGAGAAAAACATTTTTTTGCAGAACACATGTAGATTTTGCAAGCTAATAGGGCATTTGTTCTGTAAACCCTCCATGTGTTCCGTACGGCTTTTACAGAACAAATGCACTATTAGCTTTCATAAATTACATGTGTTTTGTAAAAAAACAGACGTGGTCTGGGAATTTTGCAAACTAATAGGGCATTTGTTCTGCAACCGGTTTACATTTGTTCTGCAAACGGCCCGCGTTTGTCCTGTAAAAATCCACATTTGTTCTGTAAAAAAACTTCTAAAAATTCTACATGTGTTCTGCGAAAAAAACGTTTGTTCTGTTAAAAAATTGCATGTGTTCTGTACAGCCTACATTTTAAAAACAAAGCGCGAAAACAAAACCAGCAGAACCCGAGCGCAAATATAATAGAACACGAGCGCAAAAAAAAACAGAACACAAAAGCGAAAATAACAGAACACGAGGGCAAAAATAACATAGCACGAGAGCAAAAATAACAGAACGCGAGAGCAAAATAAACAGAACACAAACGCAAAAATAACAGAACACAAAGTTATTCAATGGTAAAACCACTTGGCGGCAGCAACTGCAAAGGCGCCGCACGGTTTTGCTTGAGCCAAATGTACAACATGTTACATTGATGTGAGACAATGGCGGTTCATGACACTACACTTGAGGAATGTCTTTACATAGTGTATATGTGTCAAACAACTCCCCCCTCATTTTGAGAAGTGAGTGTGGAACCAAAAGCCTCTCACTACACTTTTGTTCTGATGCCCAACAACTGAATCAGACGTTCCCATGACATGGGTGCAACAACTTTGGTCATGCCATCTGCTGCTTGCTCTCCCGTTCCCACATGTTCTGGTTGCATGCCTCGTTGCTGGATGAGGTCAGCCAAACTGGCGACATCTATCCTGTGAGTGGGGGAAGCATGTCTCAGACGCACTGAGTACCCAGAATGGAGAATGGATAGTGTGGCAGCATTGTCTTCTAGCAACCTCATGGTGATGTCGCGCCCAACGAGCTGCTGCAGCAAGTCAAGGAGCGGCTGTCCCTCTGAGTAGATGGCTCCAGCCATGGAGATGATTTCTGCCTCTGTTGTCGAACGAGCGACTGACGTTTGGCGTCGCGAATTCCATGCGATCGGCCAACGCGAAGCTCCAGAAGAGAGAAAAATCATCATGCCGGACGTTGATCGCGCAGTATGCACGCATGACGCTAGGTCTGCGTCTGCATATACATGCAGTTCTGTTTCACTGAGTGCGCCAGCCTGACATATCATCTGATATTCCTTCGTCCAGTGAACATATGAGACCAAACGATGAAGGTGAATGTCTTCAGCTCGGCTCCAAACTGTGATCCTGCTCGCCAGCCTGCCTACTGAAAAACTAATGTCTGGTCGGCAAAGTCTTGCCAACCAGAGACCCTTCATCAGCACCTTTGATGCATGTTGTTTCATGGATCCTGGTTGTTCGTACAAAGCGTCAGCTAGCGTGCTATCATTGATGTGAGGAGTAGCAACCTTACGCAATGATTTCAGATCAACACCAGTGATTTCGAGATATAGCTGCACGAATTGATCAGCATATCCAACCATGGACATAACTATGGTTTGTGGGGTTTCAAGTTCATGCAAACGACCTAAAATGAGCACTGCATTGTTTGGAAGCAAGGTTTGCGGATCCTCGATCTTGATGAGTTCAGAAAACCGCTGCCAAAACTTGGTATGCAGATGCGAAGCTCCTGATAGTGTGAGGTCATCGACATAAATGTTGAGAAGCATTCTGTGGCCATCAAGGTTAAACAGAAAGTTGCTAGGGAACCCCTGGATTTGTTGAGCTCCAATTCTGGAGATCCGGCTCTCCAAAAACTCTTGCCATAGGCGGCCAGCCTGCGGATGTCCGTATAAGGACTTTCGAAGCCTCACGGCAACTTTGCCATTGAATTTGGATTTCCACTGGCTCAGCCACAATTGTCGTGGCAAAATAACGAACGTGAGCTCATCTTCAGGAAGGTAGCTCTGCAAGAATGCTTGCACTGCGTCTGCAGTTG